GCCCCGCTCATCCCTGACAGCCCTGCTCTGTCACTTGCCCAGGGGCCTTCTCTGCCCTGGCCTAGCAGGTGGGTCACTCCCTCCCTCCACTGCTCCCTCCTGCAGCCCCCTGCCCCAGGGTTTCTTCCTGGGAGCTACTGCCATCACTCCTGCTCAAGGTGGCACAGTTTATTGGCGCATTGATATGGGAGGGTAGGAATTGTGGGCTCCATCTTATAACTGAGGTCCCGAGACTCACAGGAGTGAAGAGACTGTCAGATCTTATGGTTAGTGGCAGGCAGGGCCACGACTCAAACCCAGGTCTGCTTGAACCCAAAGCCCATGAATACCAAGACATAGACCCTATGCTATTAACTGTGTGCTCCTGGGAGCTGCCTGGGGTGTCCTCAGAGAAGCACATGACTTGCACACGAGGAAGGGGATTGACAAGGTCCCCACAGGCCTTTGGGAGCAGCAGCTCGAGGGCTGTGGGCACTCCTCAGGCAGGCCCCAGATTTTGCCCATGCACGAGGCCCTCCTTCACCTTGGCTCAGGCCCCAGGCCCCGTGACACACAGCCCTGGGTAAGGGCGCAGGAGGCCCAGACTCAGCACACCCACAGGCAGACATCCAGCTGGTCCTGGGTCTGGCAGGTTCCCAGCGCTGGCTTTGGGAACCACTGCATGAGGCTGCTTTCCTGGAGGTTGGGGCGGGGGGAAGCTCTAAAGAGGGTCCCGTGGTCAGGCCCGGCATGCCAGAGGGACGGATTTGGAGGCCCCCTGTGCTTGCGGGAAGGCCTGGAGAGTCTCCACAGGCCAGAAGGGAAGGGGGTGGGGAAAGGGAGGAGAATGGCACCCGCCACGTGCTTCCTTCTACACTCACATCACCGCTCAAAGCCCTTGATAGGCCTGCCATCTGCTCATGTCTTCATTGATTCATTCATCCACCTGCACGTTCCCTTCCAGACCCTCTTCCCTCCCTTCATTCACACAGGCCAGACACTGCACACACACCCCTCCCGAGTGATGTTTGGGGGGTGACTTCGGAAAAGTGTAAGGGATCCTTGCTGTCCTCCAGGAACACAACTTAAGCCAGTCATTATACTTTAGGATGATCCTCTGCACTCTGCACCATTTTACAGATGGGCAAACTGAGGCACAGTGAGGCTAAGGTCTGCCAGCAAATAAATGGCAGAGCTGAGAATAGAACCCATATCTCTGAGCTGCAGTCAGGGGCTCTGCTCCCACAGCACACAACAGGGTTTCACTTTCCTGCCCAGCACTGCCGTGAACCCATGCTGGTCACATTCAGATGACGCCGAGGGCCCCATTCCCATGGAAGTCCCTGTGTGACTCAGCCTCTAGGCCATGACTGGTGCTGCCTCTCTGCCTTGGGTGGGGACAGGCAGGGCACCCATGTGCACCGTTTCTCTTGATCCAGGAGGTTTCTCTTCTGTCCACCCCTTTCCCTTCTTATAAGACAGGTTTTCCAAGAGTCCCCCTGGATTAACTCTCTACTTTTTTCCTCTCCCGACTCTAGGGAGATGAGGGACCCATGGGGCCACCTGGGGCGCCTGGCTTGGAGGTGAGTGTTGCTGGCCTGGGGGTTTGTTGGTGTTGAGCCAGCTGTGCGCAGTCGGGCAACATTTGGGTAGTGCTCCAAGAGAGGTCATTAGTGGGGGCCTGGGCCAGCCAAAGAGGGGACTAGGACAGAACTTAAAGGAGAGAGACGAGAGGCAGGACACCGGCCTCCGGCCTTGTCCACCTACTGTGTGCTGGTGCTTTGCAACCATTTTCTCATTTGAGTTTCCCAAAGAGAGAGGCGCCACTCTTAGTCTCACTGGAGGCCAGTGAGGCTCAAAGAGTGAAGGGTTTAGCTCACTGTCTCTCAGCCAGGAAGCGGGGATGTCCTGCCTGGAACCTGACCCTGCGTCCTCTGTCCTCACCACTGCTCCAGCGGCCTTCCAGAAGGTGCTTTTCCAGCCCCTGCCTCCATCCCTGTGATTGATCAATCAGCAGTTCCCGAATGTTTTGGTCTAGGCCCTCTGGACGCTGTTAAAAAAGACTGAGGACCCCAAATGCTTTTCTTTGTGTGGGTTACACCTAACAATACTGGTCATTAAAAACAGGGAAATTTGAAATTTATTACTCCATTTAATATTAATAACAAATCCATTTCATGTTAACAAATATACTAAGTTTAATGAAAACATAGCTATATTTTTCCAAATCAAAATCCAGTGGAAAGAGTGGCACTGTTTTACTATTTTTGCATTCAATCTGTTAACCATACCGAGTGTCGTGCAGCCTCTGGAACCCTCCACTTACACTCATGAGAGTGAGGGTGACACGGGCAGATGACATCTTGGTACTGTTCTGAAAATGGTTTGGCCACATGAATCTGCTACAAGGGGCTCGGGGACCCGCGAGGGTCTCCAGACCACACGTTCAGGACCAGCGGCGTAAACTCTCCATCCCCTGTGCCCTTTATCTTCTGTTCAGTCCCTTCCCTTCCCTCTCTCCTTGAAGCAGGTTTCACCTCCCCATAGAGGAGGCCAGCTGGGGAAGGGAGGCTGTCCCAAGGTCGCACAGCTGCATACCTACCCTTATGTCCCCAGGACAGTCTGTTGACATCGGGGCTCTGCATCCCTGTGCCCCACCGCAGGCACTGTGGCCTCCCCCGGTGCCAGGTCCTGGGGCCCCCCGCAGAGCTGCCCCACCAGGCTCCTTTCACTCATCTCTTTCTGTTGCAGGG